TGCACTCCGGCTTCTCAGTGGCTTCAGACAGTGCAAAGCAGCCAGCAGTAAGCCATCAGCAGAAACTGGGAAGGACTGAAATAGCTGTCATTGCAGAGAAGGGGACTGAAAATTAAAACAGATCATGTAGCTACCACAGATTGTGAAGGAAAGCAGCATCCGTACATCTCCTTGCGGTCATGCCACATCCTAGGATTTCTGCTTCTCTGATCCTCTGTACTCAACGGAAAGACAGGTGGCTGGCAATATGGACAGGACTTCAAAGTCTGGTTATTTTGCTTCTCTTGATGTTTTTCTTCTCATGTCTTATAAATTATTAATTTATAATAAATTTTTATAATTATGTGAGGTGCTAAGTTGTATCTCACTGCTGTTTCTATGGTTAGATATTTGTCAGGAGGAGTGAAAATTCTCTTCTAACCTTGTTTGCTGCAGGTAATCAAAGCTTCATAGTCTGAGTTTGGGAAGTTTACAGGGTTGAGAGGTGATGCTTTATGGTTAAGCAGCTTTAGACTAGTGGTTGGAGGATACTCAATCTTCTCACAGTTTTGTAGTGCCTGCCAGGTGAAACCCATGTCTGCGCTCTCCATGGCATGAGGAGGAAGACAGCCCTTCTCTTTGTCTAAGGTTTGGTAACCTCAGTCTGGCCAGTCTCTCTCTTATTGTGTGAGCAATGCCTTCTGATTCTTAACCCAGTAGCTTCACAGCGGGACTGACGTGCTTGGTGATAGTACAAATGTGATAATACTTGCTCCTGGTGTGGGCAGTTTCTTGAGGAAATACAAAACCAGTGTGTGATATTGAGTACCACATCGATTTTTGTTTCTCAGGGGCAGTTGCTGTTGAATTCTGGGTAAAGTAATGTAATAATGTTGGGAGACACTGAAAAATATTTCCAGGTACAGCACCATTCTTCCTAGGAAATGTAAGATATAAGCAGGGGGGGAGAAAAAAAAGCCCACAAAACCACTAGAAAAGCAGTAATGCTTGTTATAGCTAACATGACCGGAAAACGGATACTGATATTTTACCCCATCACAATAATGTAGTCCTGACTTTAGACCGCCTCTGTAATGAATATACTGTGCTTGCTTCCACAGGCTTGTTCAGTTGAAATTAAAAAGGAAATTATGGTTAGAAACAAAGAAACTTTACATTTGGTGATTTGTAACACTGCAAAAGTCGAAGCGAATGTGTTTGTCTTGGTTGTGGTAAGAGACTGTCAGTGCTTCGATCTTGAGTTACTGGGGTTTGCATACTCAGCCTCAAGTACTGACTCTAAAAATTGTATTATTAAGAATTATTCCATATTAGAACAGCAAAATTTACTGACATTTGTGTTTCTGATACCCAGTATTGTCAGAAAAAAAAAAATTGAACAATAGTGAATCTTATGTCTTAAAGTGATCAGTATCTTCATTTAGCAAACCTTTGTCATAGATTCGGCTAAGAATATCAGATCTTTTAAGCCACAGAACAAAAGCCTACTCCTTCTTGAGACAAATAGAAAAGAACTTGTATATTAGCTGTATTGTTACTGATTATATATCAAAATGGTTTAATTTTTTGTGGTTTGAAGAGCTAGATTTTATTTTAACTCATTAAATAGTCCAGCAAGCCATCTGGCATGTGCAAAAGGAAGAAGACATTTAGGCTTTTGATTCATAACAACAGGAAATCCCCCAACCCTGCAGCTGAGCCTACATTTTATGAAATTTTTATAAACTTGTGTGACACTTACCTTTTAACACTTAACTGTTAGATACTGTTTTGAAGAGCTGGATTATCACTGAGCTTGTTTGATCAGTTTAACTGTTGCCACATCTTCATAGAAGAAAAGGTGAGACCTGAGGATCTCTTCTATTTGGCATAAGGCAAAATGTACACGCTGGTGAGCATCAGATCCTCACTGACAGGGAAGTGTGCGTGCACCAACTTGAGTTCAACCGCAGAATCCCTTTGATACCTAACAGCAACAGGGAAACCTGTGCCCCGGGCCACACATGCCCACTTTGTTCAGATCAACAGCGTATTTGATGGTATAATTCTGCTTTAGAAATGGATTTACCGAGTGAGATATTAGTTGAGCAGGTTTACAGTGTTTTCTGAGTGAGCGGTCGGTGTGAGAAGCTGCTATGCCCTCTCAGCTCACTTTAAAATGCCCAGGCCCATGGCTTACTCTGGCATTAGGCGTTGTCAGCAGAAACCTTCCGTTCACTCATGTCTGCTGACGTGACGGTGCTTCTGCCTGCAAAGCCCGTGACCCCAGGTTTCAGCTGCTTACTGAGCAGTTAGAGAGGAGGCACTGACAGATGGAGGGGATCTTCTGGCAGCCTCCAGCAGCTGGTGTTGTCTGCTGGTGTGGTGAACTCATTGTGAACGAGAGATGAGGCCATGGAGAATGTGGTTTAAGTGCCAGCCTGCTGCTTGTAAATTGTCGGGTATCTTCTAGTACAGAAGATGAAAATGAGAAATGAGTGAGCAGAATGGCTTGAAAACGCAGGGAACTGGCACTGAAGGTGAGGAAAACCTGAGGTCAGCTATCCACTTCTTGTAATGGAGGAGTCAGACTCCTGCTTGATGGGAAATTGATCTTTCAGTGTGAGTGTTCAAATATGGGGTCAAGGCAAAGACAGGTGGTGGCAGTAGAAATTTGGGTGAGGGTGTCACAGGGGTAGTGCAGGTGGAGGATGAGCTCAGGAGCTGAGGTGGATGTAAACAACCCATGCTGCATCGAGACTGCAGGCAGTTGGAGGAAATCCCAGCCCAGATATGTTCAACATAGAGCAGCAGCCACCTTGGCGGGAGCTATGGGGAGAGGCTCTTGAGATGTGGGGAGTGTATGGTCTGAAGGACACTACTGGAGACACATGGAGGGAGAGTCTGAGGTGACATCAGAGAGACACTTTAAGGCTATGTAGGCACTCTAGAACAGTGTGAGAGATGTCCCCAGGAGAGGACCAAAGCAGCATCTATGGTATCCCACAGTAGCCCCAGGACTATATACAACCGATGGCTGACCTTCCTGACTCTTCTCCTGGACCATTTATCCTCCCCCTTGGGACAGTGGAGGCCATGTCAGGAGCCACTGCACTAACCCACCCAAGTTCTCTCCTGGAACTAGTGAGAAGTATCATCCCACTGCCTTGAAGTACATCTCTCCTTAAGTACGTCCTCTGGACTGTTGCTGTTCTAAGTAGTAGTCCATACTTTGAGGTAAGGGTTTTATGCTTACGCAGACTCTCAAACAATTTGTGTTTGTAGGATAAGCACCAGGAGTGAGCACAGCTTTCTGAGCCTTAGGAGTAGTAGCTGCACGGGGCAACAGAAATTGTATGACAGTGCTGAGGACAAGTGCTGCTACCGTTACTATTTTCTATAATAGATCTGGTCATTACTTGATAACACAGCGCAGTAGCTGTCACAAACCATTTTACCTGTTAGGAAGACTGTAATTTTTCTTTTTCATAGCTCATATATCAGTGCGTTAGTGTGCTGACCATAATGACAGTGACTTCCTCAGTTAATTTTTTTTGCTTCCTTTTATAGCGGATTTGGTATAGAACATGAAACTGATTAAAATGACCAAAATAAAGTGATAAAAAGAAGTGCAGCTTTTCTTTTTTTTTTTTCTCTCTCTAGTTGCTTTGACCACTTTCTATTATTTATCAGAATTTTAGTTGGTTTAGTGACTTTTTGAGGCACTTTTTTCCTGAGTGGTAGAGCTTTGCAGTCTTTACGGGATGATGAGTGAGCTGTGTATTCTCTTACAGAGTCCCCATGTATGTCTGTGGAATATCTTTTCCTGTAAAATACTTCCTGCAATGGCAGTTACTGCTTAAAATGTCCTCTGTGTGTTATGTGCCCCGTTAGATGCCTGAACACATTTGGCCTTTGTTCTTGAAAGGAGAGCTCTTGGAGGGAGAGCTGCAGGTTGGAAATCTCCACGTTCTTTGGTTCCATAATGTTGCCAATAGATGGGTGGCTCTGAAACCTAATCAGGCCATCTGTGGATGTGACAATTTATTTTCCTCTGCATTTTACAGAAGTAATTTAAATGGTACCCTCAGAGTTGCAAACTACGTCCAAAATGCAAAAATACTCTAGATAAATCCTCAGTTTCTGTCAAAAATAGAAGTGATTTCTTTACCTTTTCTTTCTAACAGCAAGATTGTGCACATAAAAAATAACTTAAGTATCAGTGTGATTAATACAGGGGTACTGTTCTGCTGATAATATTTTCTTTTTTTTTTTCTGGTCAATGTTGCATTCTCAGTGGTAGCCAGGAAAGAACCATCTTAACATGGTGGAAACGGTGTTAATGTCTGGATTTCACAGTATACTGACTTATTTATTAGTTTCCCTGGTGTCTTCACCACTTTGTTTCACTACAACTTTTTTTCCTATATTGCTAATAATTTTTGTGATTGTAAATGTTATTTAATGCCCCGTTTAGGAAACATCTCCTAGCACTGATGTTCTGCACCCTGATGGGACTACAAGGGACAAGAGTTACGAAATAACTCTTGCATGCCCACTTGTGCCCTTTGTTGACACAGAAATAACTCAAACTGGGGTGCTGCGGTGCCTGGGGACAGCTTGTTGACAAGGGAGATGAAAGTGGTATCTAATCAGTTGCAGCTAATGGGTACGGTCAGTTGTCCAGGTTCTTGTCTGATGAGGCTTGCTAGCAGCGTAAGCTGGTGAATCTAGTGTCCTTGTCCCAGAAAGTCTAGTCAGATTTGAGTGAGTCAAGTGTCTTGCTGCTGACAGGATTTAAGTTATGCTGAATTGCTATCAGAGTGAAGTAGTTCCTGCTAAAAACACTTTTATGAAAAGGTTTGTTACCTAATTTTTACTGGAAATTACTCTTACTCATGTTTTCGGAATTACATTTTAATACATCCAATTGCTTTTAAGAAAGTTTGAGGCATATACTCTATGACTAGGAAAAAAAAAACCAAACTCATAAGAAATCTCATTTTCTTTCATGCAGAAAGCATCAAAATCAAAGTTGAAGAAAAAAACAACTAAAACCCAAGAAGCAAAAAAAATATTGAAGAAGAAATTCAAAGTCAACACAAAAATAGTCTTTACTGAAGATGGAGAGGTAAGTTCAATTCAAAATAACTGTATTTTGGTGGAAACCGAATTTGTCGTTTCTATAGAGACAAAAATGCTTTATGTCTATATTAAAAGATAAGATTTTTAAAGTGTGTAGTTCTTGTATTTGGCTTAAGTTCTGCAAAACTGTTCAGCTTCCATTTAGAATTCAACTGGGAAAAAGAGGAATGCTGAGCAATGACCTATTTTCACCTTTGTATGTGTAACACACTTGTGTAGGAGCTGTGAGTGGATGTACCAAACCATACCGCTTTTCTGCCTATTATCTTCAACTTCAGGTGATATCAAGAGTCTATGTTTCTCCTTACAAAAATATAAAACAATTTTCCTGTCGGTATTTGCCAAAGCTCCCCCAGGTCTTGAGTTAATGTACTGGAATTAAAAGAAGTCCCTGGTTTTCTTTCCAGCATTCACTGTTTCTAGATTTAAAGTTTTACTAAGAAAGCTAAGAAAGTACCACGTTTTTGCCTACTGGTGCTGGTGCATCAGTGCATTGAAATTTGCCAGTAATTTAATTGGATCTTTTAATAGCCCCTGGAAAAATGTATTGGTTTTATACCAAACAGAACTATTGTGGATGTAAGTCATTCTAGGGTTTCGTTGTGGCAATAACCTCGCTAGCAAGTCTCCATGCTCCGTAAACTTTTCTAACATTTGATTTCATAGCTTCAAATGCTGTGTATGTGGGTTTTCCATTTCCAGCATTAAGAAAAAAGTAGCTTTTTTTCCCTTCAGCTTAATTTCAGTAAGGCATAAACTGAAAAAGAGGTCACCTTTACAAGTATATAACTTCTTTGTAACCAAAGAAAAATAAAACATTTTATATTGCAGGTGAAGGGAGGGAGTCTAGCTATATAATTACTGACATTAGACAAAATTTAAAAGGTTTTAGAGGTTGCTTCATTGACTGGAAATTACATCTTCAGATATTTTTAGATATTCAAAAGCTGTTGTCTCATCTTAAAATACATATGTAAATGTTGTATGTATCTATGCAATGAAGCAAAAAAGAAGAGTGAGGATGAAAAAAGAAAAGCACAAAGATCATAGAGAAGTAGCACAGTAGAAAAGGGGTAACTTATTAAGGAAGTGTAAAGCTTGCACCTATGTATGTTGTTCCTATATTTTTTCCCTCAGCAGAGTAAAACTGCTTTAAATCTTTACTGTTCCACTCCACATGATTCTCTGATAAAATAAAATTCATAAGAAATGTAACTTTCTAGAAAATGTAAGTACGCAAACCCTGGTTTACGAAAGGAAGTGGAAACAGTAAGTTGGGTTTAGTATCCAGGGGAATGACACCATGTGTGCGTTAGGGAGTCCTCAACATGTGGTTTTGCGTTTGTATCTGAAAGATATTCTATATCTTCTGCCACCTAGTTTCTTTTTAAGAGTTGCTTGAGCTATTATGTCATAAAAGAGGTGGAGATACTTTTTGGTGAACATGTAGTCTTTTTCTTAGCTTTAGTGAAACATTCTTCTGCAGAGACTGACTGCTCATGGCTTGGGTGGGGCATCCTCTTTGCTAGGTAAAAAAACTGGCTAGATGTTCAAGCCCGAAGAGTTGTGGTGAATGGAGTTAAATCCAGTGGGCATCTGGTCACAAATGGAGGTCCCCAGGGCTCAGTGTTGGGGCCAGTTCTGTTTAATGTCTTTATCAGTGATCTGTACGAGGGGATCGAGTGCACCCTCAGTAAGTTTGCAGATGGCACCTAGTTGGGTGGGAGTGTTGATCTGCCTGAGGGTAGGAAGGCTCTACTGAGGGATCTGGACAGGCTGGATCAGTGGGCCAAGGCCAGTTGTGTGCGGTTCAACAAGGCCAAGGGCTGGGTCCTACCCCTTGTAACGCTACAGGCTTGCGGACGAGTGGCTGGAAAGCTGCCTGGTGGTAAAGGATCTGGGGGTGTTGGTTAACATTGTCTGAATATGGGCCAGCAATTTTCCTAGAGGGACAAGAAGACCAATGGCACCCTGGTCTGCATCAGGAACAGTGTGGCCAGCAGGACTGGGGCAGTGATTGTCCCCCCGTACTTGGCACTGGTGAGGCTGCACCTCGAATCCTGTGTTCAGTTTTGGGCCCCTCACTGCAAGGAAGACACTGAGGTGCTGGAGCGTGTCCAGAGAAGGGAACGGAGCTGGGGAAGGGTCTGGAGCACAAGCCCTGTGAGAAGCGGCTGAGGGAATTGGGGGTGTTCAGCCTGGAGAAGAGGAGGCTGAGGGAAGACCTTATCGCTCTCTACAGCTACCTGAGGTTGCAGAGAGGTGGGGGTTGGTCTCTTCTCCCACGTGACACATGGTACGAGAAGAGAAAATGGCCTGAAGTTGCACCAGAGGAGGTTTAGATTGGGTATCAGGAAAAATTTCTCCATTGAAAGGGTTGTCAGGCATTGGAATGGGCTGCCCAGAGAAGTGGTTGAATCACCATGCCTGGAGGTATTTAAAAGATGTGTGGTTGAGGTCGTTGGGTGGATGGTTTAATGGTGGAGTTGGCAGTATTAGGTTAACGATTGCAGCTGATGATTATAAAGGTCTTTTCTAACCTAAAAGTTTCTATGCCTTAGAGTTTTCAGATACTTAAGGGAAGTTGGGTGTGTTCAGCATGTCATCCACAAGTCAAACGAATCATCAAAAATTTCCTATCTAATTTTTGTACTATATTGACTAAAAATCCTTCATATCTGTTCTCCTTGTTTCCCCCAAAGCATGAACCTGCAGTCATGTTTTTTTGTGTACTGTGTGATGAAGTCTTATGTCAGTTAATAGGTTGGAATGCTAATGGTTTACATGGAAACATACTGTTTAGATTTACTAATATTTTGTTGAGTTGCATATATTTTGGAGAGATTTCTTTAAAACAAATATAATTTTTCTCTTAAAATGACAAGCAGCATTATGAATTATTTGTTCCATTAGGTAAAGAGAGAAACATAGGAGGAATTGAAGTGAATTCATAAAAAAGTAATATGGTGTAATGGAGGCATTATTTTCAAATACTCTTTTTTGATTGAAAGTGATGAGATATCTGAGTTTGTATTATGCAGAAGTTTTGGGGTTTTATTTCCTTTGCAAATGACCTTTTTATTTAGTCTAGAAAAATAATGTATTGGAATATTTAGGACATCAAAACTTTGAGCTGAAAAAAATTGTTCTAACCATTGTTTTTTTTGTTGACATTTATAATTCAGTTAGTGCAGCAGTGGCCACCTGTGCAAAAATCCAGTTTGGCGAAAGCAGATGAGGAAGATGATGCCAGCGGTATCAACCTAGATAAAGCAAAAGAGATACTGCGGGAAGAAGACAAATTTGACAAAGAAGAATACAGGAAGAAAATAAAGGATAAACATAGGGTAAGTTGATTTCTGCCTCAATTACTGAAGTGCAGAAATAGATACTGTGATATGGATTGCTCAGTGAGGAAAACTATTTAAGTATATTGTGACATAAATGGGCGTACACGTTTGTTTCAATTCATTGTTTTGTTCAGGACTGCATTGCACACAAAATTGTTTGACAAATAGCTGGATCGCACAAAGCCTTATGCAGTACCAGTTGCTGGTATCAGCGCAGCTTTATTTACACCTTCAAAAGCTGGTGAGAGTTTAGTGAGAGCATTTTTTTTTTTTTTTTAGCAGAGTTCAGTAGAAGGGTTGGTTTCACAAAAAAAAAAAAGTACTGTTTTGCATACATGCTCTAACCTGCTGAAGAAGTTTAGGGGGAAGGAGAATGAAAGTGTCTCT